GGTAGAGTAGAGGGACAGTGCAGGAGGGGAAGATCCTCTATGAGGTGGATTGATTCAGTGACTGGGGTAATCAGGATGGGTGTGTCAGAGGCAATGAGATTGGCACAGGATAGAGCACAGTTTAGGGCTGTTGTACATAGGGTCGCTATGAGTCGCAAACGGTTTGACGGCACATAACAACAACAACCCCAACACTGATATCAGTCATTTTCCACAACAGTGGCACCATGCGGTATTTGTCCTTTTGTGACTGAGATATTTTACTCAGCATAATGTTCTTGTGGAGTGATTGTTCATTTTTTCTTAAAATTTATATGCCATTTAACCTGTTGAAAAATAATATATATATTAGATGAGAAATGAGAATGAGTGTTTGAATGGTTTTAGTCCTCACAGACTGTATCCTTAGAAATCTATAATAATGCATTTAAACATTTTTTAAAAGATAAAATTGATAATATAGAAGCTGATGTCTGAATAGAACAAAGGAATACTTCATAGTTTAAAATCAGGAATGATGTACATCACAGTGGTATCCTTTCTCCCTGTCTAGTCAGTATGTACACTGAGCAAATAATTCATAAAGCTGGACTCTATGAAAAAGAATGTGACATCAGGATTAGAGGATCACTCATAAGTAACCTGTGCTCTGCAGATGACACGACCTTGTTTGCCAAAATGAGGATTTGAAACACACAAAAGACTATAGTCTGCTATATGAATTGTATCTCAACATAAAGAAAACAAAAATCCTCACTACAGTGCTGATAGGCAACATTATGATAGATGAAGCAAACTTTGAAATTGTCAACAATTGTATCTCACTTGGATCCACAATCAACACCTTTGGTACCATCAGTAAAGATATCAGGAGACATATTGGATTAGGTAAATTTACTGTCAGAGATCTCTCCAAATTGCTGAGGAGCAATGATGTCACTTTGAGGACTGAGGTGTGTCTGGTTCAGGCCATGGACTTTTCCTGTCCCTTGCTATGGTGTGGAGAAGTAGAAAATGAATAAAGATGACAGAGAAGAATTGATGCCTTTGATTGTTGATATTGGAGAATAGTACTGACCATCTCATGGACTGCTTAAAAACAAACAAGTATGTCTTGGGAAAAGTGCAGCTAGCATCATTCTCAGAGGCAGAGATGTTAAAATTTCATCTCATAAATATTTTGGTCATGTGATGAGAAGCTATTCCTTGGAAGAGGGTACCACATTTGTAAGTGTCAAGGGTCGGTGAAAAAGAAAACCCTCAGTGAGATGAATTGACACAGTGAGTACAGCAATGGGCTTGAGTTAAATGTGTTGAAAATGGTGAAGATGACACGGGATAGCACAGGGTGCAGACCTACTCATAGATCTATGAGTTGTACTCTACTGAGGACACCTAATAACAACAACAAAGCACCAACAGATTTCATGGAGTCCAAGTAGTGTAACATAAAATGTGTTGTGCTGCGAACTGGAAGGTTGGTGGTTCAAATCTATCAGTCTTTTCTTGTGACTTCTTTTGATGATAAAGCCACAGATTTGCTACTTATTTTTTTCTAATTTGACTATACTAAATTTAAATTGTTGTTTAAATTGTTGTTTGTTATTGTTGCTATTTATGGTCAAGTTGGAACCTACTTATGACGGATCATTCAAAAGTTTTAGAGACATGGGAAGAGGTTGCCCATATTTCTCTTGTGGAGCAGCTGGTGGATTTGAAACATGTATCTTTGGTTTGGCATCACAACTCTTTACCACTAAGCCACCGGTGTGGTTGTTGTTGTTGTTGCTCTGTATCATCTATCTGGAACTAAGCCAGAACTGACTCTCCACTGGGTTTTCAGAGGCAATAAGTCAGAAAAGATGAGTTCGTCCATTTCTCTTCGCAGAGCTGTGAGTCCGGATCTCCCTTAAATTTAAGTTAAAAAATATTTTTTAAAAAATCTAATTATTTCCCCATCCAAATTTGTAACTCCCCTCAATTCTTCTCATGGTTGTTGTGGACCCCATAAATCGTTGGCATTAGGAACCCTTGATTTCTGTTAAATATTGAATTTAAACTTGCTTAGTGTTGTACTAAATTCATAGTTATCTGGAAAAAACTGTAATTTCTCTCTGCTGAGGCCAGCTTACTCTTTCAGGCTTTCTTTGTAAACACAGCTTGCCCCTAGGCTTTCTTTTCCTTGTAACTACAAGATTATAAGGAGGTCCTTATTTTAGCAGCGACTTCCCTTTGTCCCACACTGAAGAAGATGGTGGTTTCTCTTGTACTTCAGAAATTCAAAGCATGAATTTAAACCAGTACCCTTTATTTCCACCAAACTGTTAAGAATGTGTACCGACATCTTTTGTTTATATGTTCTATGCGGTTAGTTGTGATGCATGTTATGATTATTGCTATGTGCCATCTAGTCAACTATGACTCATAGAGATGCTATGAACAACTCACTTGAATTCTGCCCTATCCTGTGCCATCCTTTCCATCTCTGACATATTTGTGCCCATACTATGTCAACCCATTGGTTGAAGTTCTTCCTCTTTTATGTGGACACATTATATTCCAAGCATGATGTCCTTCTCCAAGGACTGGTCCTTTTTAGCAACATATCCAAATAATGTCAGACAAAGCTTCACCATCCTTGCTTCCAAGGAGCACTCTGGTTTCACTTTTACTTTTTTCCAA